AATAGATAATAAGGGCTATTTTACTGCTCACCAGAAGTTGCTAGTTGGGACTGAGTTGAATACGTATTTTACGTTAGTTATTTGTGAGTACGAATTTAAAATAAATAATAAAATAACAATAAATGAACAAAAAGATAGCCCTTTCGAAACACGCCCGAACGCAAGCGAACTCCAACACGCAACACGGAATGACTACAAAATGGTGCACCAAGATTGAAGCTTCCCTAAAACTTACGTTAATTGCAGTTGCAACAAAAATTGTGTAAGTCAAATTTTAAAATTATTTGTGGCAGTGGTGAAGCTAGGGCTCCAAACTAGGGCAAGGCCAAGATATGGTTTTGTTGTTTTAGCAGTTTTATAAAAATACACCAATCTTGATCTGTTTCCACTCTTCAGTTTCATATTTAGTGCTGTCGAGGACGTGTTTAACAAAGCACACAGAAAGCATACTACTGATAGATAGATTGTATGACATATCAGCAATTGCATACCTTCGGTGGTTTTGTAAACCGCTGTTTGGGTTTGCTTCAGCGAAAGAAATAATATTTACATACAATACAATACATGAACAAAAGAAAAGCATGAACAAAGTACAAACAAACTATGTACAAAATTAAAAAAAATATGTTTATATTCTAAATCGAATCGTCTCTCTTTCATAAGGAAAGATTTGATAACGTCCGCGTAAAATGTTGGTGAACGTTTTAATTGTACCAATAACTGTTTTTCAATTGCGATAATTGATAAGTCTGAAAGACGCTCTTGACCTTGTGTATTTCTCAAATAAGTATGGATGCGCTTCAGAGTTACTAGACTAGAGAATATTTTCGTTTATAAAGTCAATGAGTTCGAAAACATTGCGGTCTTTAAATTCAGGGGAGGAATACAATGAAATCAATTGGTTTTTTAATATTTGTTTATCAAAATGGTTTGCGTAATTTTCAAATAATGAATCTATGCCTCTAAAGGAAAATCTGAACGATATTTTTCGAATAGTTTGTAGTTAAACAATTGGAAAAATTTTAATTTGAAAATTTCAGATTATCAGCCATTAATTTCTGAAGATATGTAATCAATTATTTCAACAAAAAGTCGTTTGTATTCTGTCTGAGCACAGCGCACATTGCGTCTCAAACGACGAGAAGAGTTAGAGTTTGTTATGTGTTTTCATAAATGTGATCAAAATCTGACTGAAATTTAGTACGTAACCATGTCTGAAACTCCTTTATTTTATTAGTGCAATAACCGACATCAACTTGTGATTTTTGTAAAATATTGTACAAGCAATCGGTTTTTTCAAATAACCGGTGGAAATTTGAAGGAAAAGAATTGAAATTAAATGAACGCAATGTGTTTTCAAAATTCTCGGCGACCAAGATCGTATCGCCGTCCCAGTTCTGTGAATTGTCGCACATATCTGAAAACAAATTAATCAGATTATCTTTTTGTTTGAATACTATATTCACAATTCGTTATGTATACGTCCAACGAGTAGCGGGGGCATTAGGCTATTTTTTGCTGCAATGTGCATCATAAAAGGAAGACCGTTTTATGCTGTTATTAAAAAAAATTAAATAAAGCCTGACCAGCCAGGGCTTAAAAAAAGTGCTGACTTCCCCAATCCTGTTACAAGATTTAGATAAACTAATAGCAAAATGTGTGCATTATACCAAATATACGAGTACATGACTTGGGGACAAACATCTTTAACTTTTTGTTGCACTTAATTTCTGACACCGGTCATGACACTTGCACCGTCATAGCTTTGCGCAACTAGTTTTGTGGTGCAGTCATGTTTTTTTAATAATTCCAATATTATATTAGAAAGTGTGTCTGCTATGCGACTTTCAGACACATCTACAAAAAACGGTCATGAATATCGTTTCCATAATAATATCGGAGAACCAGACACAATTGCTCTCTGTGACTAACATCGGGAGTTTCTTCAATAATAATTAAAACTAATTTTGACAAGTTTACTTCGTACTCGATGCGAGTTTTCACTACATCAGCGACAGAATGAATAATGTCATTTTGGTTGTACTAGATAAATAACTCGGTCGTTTGTCGCTTTGTTGATGCTGCATATGCTTTTCTAACACGAGATCGTAAAGAAGCGATACAAGTTCTACAAAATTGCATTGCAAACATATCGCCCGCGCGCCCACGCGCTCGACTAACTTCACACCGAGATAATAAAATAATTTAAATTAAATAAATAAATAAACAAATAAAAACTAGTTTATCGATGTTGATTGTTGCTAACATTGAGAAAGACCGAAATCACTATACGATTAAAGCTATCATGGTTTTTGAAATAATGTCACACATATTACTACTTATATACTGCTGGCCGTATGAGGAAGCTCAAGGTCGCTCAGCGAGCTATGGAGAGGGCTATGCTCGGAGTTTCTCTGCGTGATAAACTTAGGAATGAGGATATCCGCAGTAGAACCAGAGTGACCGACATAGCCCAAGGGATTAGTAAGCTGAAGTGGCAGTGGGCCGGCCATATAGCTCGAAGAACCGACAACCGATGGGGAAGAAAGGTTCTCGAGTGGCAGCCTCGTACCGGTAGGCGAAGTGTAGGGCGTCCCCCCACGAGATGGAGTGACGACCTGGTAAGACATGCAGGAAGTCGATGGATGCAGGTGGCTCAGGACCGTGTTTTGTGGCATTCTTTGGGGGAGGCCTATGTTCAGCAGTGGACTTGTGAAGGGCTGTAATGATGATGATGATGATGATATTACTACTACATTAGGGATGCCATTTTTCTGGTAACGTGAATTAGAAGATACGAGTGTATTTACTCTCATATTTGGCATAGTAAAAAGAAGCCAAAGGTCTTGTCATTCAAGCTTTACATATAAATTACACCCAACATTTTTTTAAATAGGTTTCTCTTTTTGCTTTATTTAAAAATTAAATAAGAAAAGCGAGACAAATATATTGACTCACTTTCTATAGAATTGTAAGTTTGCTCTATGCTTACCTAAGTTTGTAACTACTCTAAGACTGGTGATGTTAATTTAATCGTTATATAGAGTTTTGGCGGGAACTTGACCGGCGACGGATTGTTGCGCCTGTATTATTGTTTAAATAATGGTTGGAAGTGGATTTTTATATGTAAAACAAGTGCAATTTTTTTTATTAAATGTCTGCGCATGTGAATTATTAGTGGAAACGGTGAAACAAGTGCTCTGATGGTGATGTGATTCTCAAGAAAAGGTGTTTATCTGCTTAGGCGTCTTGAGATACCACCGCCAACTGTCATCTGTCTGCTGGCTCAAGCCTCCAGTTGCCGTCATAATCTCCTAAGGGCTGCTTAATGTGACGCATCAACATATTGTAAATTGGGTACCACCATAAAGGATAATTATACATTGAAACTTCAATCTCAGAAGTGCTAGAACCCAGAGCCGTAAAGCAACTTAGTTAAAAAATTTAATCGTTATTGTTATTGTCAATGTTAAATGAAGGCTGTATGGCTTAGTTCCTTTGCCTGCTCTCTGGAGCGAATAATAAAAACAACAACAACAACATATGTAAAATGTAGGGATGGACATCGATGTTGACATCGACAGCTAAACATCGATGTTCGATGTTTATCCTACTCAAAACATCGATGTTGGCCATTATCGATGTTTTTTGCACATGTATATATATATATATAAATATATATATATGTAAATATATATGTGTATATATATATATATATATATATATATATATAATAGGTTAGAATAAGATGAAAAAAAAATGTCATATTGTTTATGGTTTATAATTAATGAAATAAAAGAAATTAATTAACAATGTAGTATAAAACAGTAATTAAAAAAAAAATTAGAAGTTCACAATTATCTAATTTATTTGTTATATTGTCCAATATTTTTGCCGATTGATTGAAGAAATAGTAATTTTGACAAAGAAGTACCTTTCAATCTATTTCTTTGTTGCTAAAGAGTTGAGCCAATTATTGAAAATAATTTAAAAATAAAATTTTGTATAACTGACTTAAGGATAACTCAAAAACTATTGGTCAGACTTATATGGGTCTAATTTATATGTGACCACATGTGAAGCACCAAATTTTAAATAAAAAAAAGAATCATCGAAATCGGTTCACCCAGAAAAAAGTTATGAGGTAACACACATTTAAAAAAGGACATACAGTGGAATTGAGTACCTTCTCCTTTTTGAAGTCGGTAGATAACCGCTCAGATGGCGCTGATTTAGCGATTGTGGTCAAATATCTCACCGCAAGTTTTCTTTTCAATTTTAGATAGGTAGAACCGATAACATTGTTCTAAACGTGCATTGGATCGTGTTTAAGATCAACTTATCTTCACGCACAATCCCTGACGGGGTAGCCAGAGAGAACAGATCGCCAAGTGTGACGATCCTTACAAACCTCTTTCGCTTCTTTCAGATTCATTATCTTCTTCGTGCATGCACGTCTAGGTATCCGAGTACTCTTAAGATCAACCATCGGATTTTTTAAAAAACAACCGATAAAGAAACAGATAGCCAACAACAACATTTATAACAAACGAAATCATTGACAACTGCGACATTACAGTTGACACTTGACAGTTAAATTTGATACCCCATAATTTAGGTTATCGATGCATTCAAGCATTCTGAATTATTCAAAATTTTAAATATTTTAGAGGAGATGCAAGATTTAGTTGATACTTGATATTGATTTCGCGGTTTCGCAAGTACCCAATAATCGATTATGGGTTTATTGACATCGATGTTTCGATGTTTGAAATGTAGCAATATCGATGTTAAAACATCGATGTTTTCACTCTTGACAATCGAACATTGATGATCATCGATCATCCCTAGTAAAATGTCATTTCCAAATACGTCATTTTATAACCTAAAATATTTTTCTCAAATATAGTTATTTCAAGTTATTTATAAAAAATTAAGTTATAAATTGCACAATACACTTTTGTTCTCTGTTATCGGAATAATATAAGTGCAACTTCACAATGCCGACAATTTCGGTTAAACGAGATTCTCTCTTTACTGCTCTTGGAAGAACATACAGTAAGTAGATATATTTAAAAATCAGTTATAATTAAATTTAATATACATTTCAATAGATAAGCAGTTTTATTTAAGAATTAATATCTATATTTTCACGCCTTTTTTATTTTGAATCAAAAGTACAATGATTTATTATATTAATAAAAATATTACTAAAGGAGGTGGTGATACGAGGCTGCTATTGATTGTTGCTATGGACACTCTATTTTTCTGACTGAAAAAATCCATGAGAATCTTCCTATAAGATCCATAGGTTTCATCCAGTCAGAAAAATAGTTTCAAAGTTAGTGAGAAAAAGAAAGAATATATCGACTCGCTCATCTGAGATCCAACAATGTTGGGTGGGCAATTTTTTTTTCTAGAGGTAAAGGTGACAAACAAGCACACAGTTTCATTTTAGAATCAACAGATGCTTTGTCACCTCTGAATACTAAGATGTAACGCCCCATTACCAGTAAAAAGGGTCTCCGGTTCTCGTCACTCTATACACTACACCTGACTCCTAAACTGAAACTAAGTAAAAGAAATGCACCACCGTCATATTACTAGCATGTGGTCCTTCCCCAGTCCATGCAACTTATTGTTGCTTATGAAACTAACTTTCCCAGATTTCAATGATTAAGTAATTGAATCCTGTGAGTAAGGTAGAACCATGAAGCAAATACAAAGAGGAGACGTTGTAATTAAATTTCACTATGTAACAACGCGTGACAATTTGCGGGGTGAGGGGATGCAAAGCCCCGCCCACTACACTATCTACATCTACCGATAAATAGTAAAACTACTCGAATCTTTCCATATCGATGTTGCAATGTAGCTTAGCTACCTTGACGGTAGATGGCGGCATGTCCACAAAATGTTATAAACTTCAAAAATAACACTTTGGCGATTAAAGTTTCTTTATGTCTGAATGCAAAGAAATTTCAGCACCTTCGTATGATTATTTTATCATTACTGAGCTCTACGTAGCTTTATATTTTTAGTTCACAGGACACAAAGTGTCGCCATCTAGTGTGAAATATATTTAATTATATTTGAAAGCCAATGTAAAGAGATGTTTCTAGAACTATTTTAATAAATTAGGTGTAAAATTACTTACAAATGAAATGTGATGCCATCCATAGCATCGGAGCGTCTATCTCATGAAGCAAATACATTCAGACAAAGAAATTTTAATCGCCAATATAATAATTTCATAGTTTTCATAATAATCTTGGGAACAGGCCGCCATCTATCGTCAAGTAAACCTCATAAAAAATAAAAAGATAGGGCCGCAATTAGAATTCAATTATTTTACCCAGTAACCCAACATTCAATATTAAAATGAAGGAAATTGTACATGGCTGATTTTTACGAAATGTTTAAGTTATATTTAAGTGACATTCTATATGCAAAGAATCACTTAAATACAATTTAAATATGTTTATCATTTCGTGAAAGTCAACCAAGAAATATTTATTTTATCCATAAATTAAAGTCTCTTTGAAACTAAATATTCTATGTTCAATATTAAGTAGGATATTTAATTTGGAACTAAATATCCTACTTATCTCACTAATATTATAGAGGCGAAATTTTGTGTGCTCTTTCTGTCTCCTTGAGCTTATTCCACACTAAGTATGTGTAATTTTTTCACGCAGAAACGGCTGGATTATTATTTATGTGTGGGTTATACTACTTAATATCTCTGAGGGAGAACAAATAATAGACAAATTATTATAATTAATATAATTTTATTTACAAATCAATTTATATATAAATATTTTATTCCAAACTAGGCATCCGAATGCACTTTTTGAATGCCAATCTAAGAACATTAAATTTATGTATTTAAGTGATTCTTTGCATATAGAATGGCACTTAAATATAACTTAAACATTTCGTAAAAATCAGCCTAAGTACAATTTCCTGCATTTAATATTAAAAGTTGGATTACTGGGAAAAATAATTGAATTCTAATTAGGGCCCTGTCTTTTTGTCATTTTTATGAGGTATACTTGACGAGAATACGGCCTGTTCTCAAAATGATTATAAACTATAAAAATGATATTTTGCGATTAAAATTTCTTTATGTCTGAATGCAAAACAAATTTCAGCACCTTCGTATGATTATTTTACCAATACTGAGCTCTACCTTTACATTTTTAGTTCACATGACACAAAGTGTCGCCATCTAGTGTCGAATATATTTAATTATATTTGAAAGCCGACGCAAAGAGATTTTTCTAGAACTATTTTAATAAATTAGGTGTAAAAATATTTACAAATGAAATGTGATGCCTTCCATAACATCAGAGCGTCTATCTGAGTAGTTTTTACACAAAAAAACACAACACTTCATCCTTTTCTTCTTAATACTACGAAAATACACCGATTTGCGATTTTTTCAACACATAAGCGCACAGGACGAATGCTGACAGTATACTAACTAAAGCCACGCCCACTATGATGACGTCAGGACCTACTTAGAATCACAGTGCACAGTTGCTTATGCCGTCTCCCCTTTGTATTAGCTTCATGGGTAGAACAAAATAATATTTTGACATAAACTATAAATTCATGAATAGTTAATCGGCATACCATTATTACCTTATTTTGTTATAGTTATAAGTAGTAAAGATTTGTAAAATATGAATTATTTTCATTAAATTAAATTAAGGGAAAAGCTAATAATTTAAACATTTATATTGTATGTTAGCCGTGTAGTGGTGGTCAAGAATATCCACTACCCCATATCATCCCGTGGGTGTCGTAAAAGGCGACAAACGGAAACAGGCAGGAGATGGCAGCAGCATCTTCCTGATAGTAGCCGAAATTCCAAAAAAAATAAACTGCGGTTGCCAACCCGCTCGCCAAGCGTGGCAACTATGGCAAATACCCCCCTATGAATAGAGTAACAAAGAGACGGCCCCCAGTCCCCGGCGGCCCCGCTATTCCTGGCTACGGTGGCGACCATGGTAACGGCGGGGCAGAGGGTGCTAAGAATCTCCGGTGGAGGTTCAGTTGCCACCTTAGACGACTCGACCTGGCAACGTACAACGCACGCACCCTGAGGACTGACGAGAAGATCGTGAAGCTGGAAGAAGAGATAGACAAGTTACGCTGGCATATTATAGGATTATCCGAAGTCCGAAGAGAGGGGGAGGACATGGTAATCCTCGAATCCGGCAACTTGCTCTATCACCGGGAGGGCGACCATCTGTCCCAAGGAGGTGGCTGATTTATCGTCCACAAGTCTCTCGTTAACAATGTTGTAAAGATCGAGAGTGTGTCGACGAGGGTTGCGTACCTTACACACCCCGATGAGGAGGTGGAGGAAATGTATGAGGATATTTCTAGAGCCATGCATTCCTCCAAAATCCCAATATACGGTGTTAATGGGAGACTTCAATGCAAAACTAGGACAAGAGAGAATGGTGAGCTGAAAGTAGGGAAATTTGGAATAGGGCAATGGAACCCAAGGGGCCAGCAGCTGGCCGACTTCATGGAGAAAGAGGGACTCTTTATGATGAACTCTTTCTTCCAGAAGCAGCCCCACAGGAAGTGGACCTGGTCATGAGATTGACTGCATTATGACTACCAAACGACAACTGTTCAGTGATGTCTCCGTGATCGCGAGGGTGAAAGCTGGTAGCGATCACCGAATGGTTAGAGGCATACTGAACCTAAACGTTAAGTTGGAGAGGTCTAATCTAATGAAGTCAACGCTCAGTCCCCCTCGTGCTCTGTTCCAAAGTCCTGAAACCTTTCAGCTCGAGTTAAAAAACCATTTTCAGTGCCTAGAAAACTGCAATGATGTGGGCGATATGAATGACAAGCTCGTGGAAACTGTCCATGCGGTCGGAGCTAAGTTCTGCAAGACCCGCCGCAGAAGAAATCACAAACTCTCCGATCACACTCTTAATCTCATGGCTGTTAGACGGGAGATGAAGCTACATTCTTCAACAGATTTGACAGCATACAGGCAATACAGCTTGTATTGAAGAAGCGATCATGCGGAACCAAGGCTCCAAAGTCTTGCCAGAGATCTGTCCGCCAGAAAGAGCCAACTGTCAAAGCTGTGTGGCAGCATCGTTTCCGGGGCACCTGAGATTTTGAGTGAGATGAGAGGTTCTATGGGCAGCTGTACACGTCATCGTTGGAGCCACACGCAAGTGTGAGTAACAATCCAAGAGTGAGTCTTATCCGACACTATTCCGAAGATATCCCGGACGTCTGAGCGAGATTAGAATGGCTCTCCAGCATCTTAAAAACGGTGAGGCCCCAGGCGAAGATGGAATTACAGCGGAGCTTCTGAAAGCGGGTGGAAAACCGGTACTTCAAGTCCTTCAGAAGCTCTTTAATTCCGTCCTCCATGGTGGTATTACACCGGATGCGTTGAGCAGAAGTGCGGTGGTCTTGTTCTTCAAGAAAGGTAACAGCTTAAAGAACTACAGACCGATTTCCCTTCTGAGCCGCGTCTACGTGCTGTTTTCGAGAGTCATTACGAATCGTTTCTCACGCAGACTCGACGACTTCCAGTCTCCCTAACTAGCCGGTTTCCGAAAAGGCTTTGTACCATAGACCACATACATACCCTTCGGCAAATTGTACAGAGGACCGAGGAGTACAATCTGCCACTAATCTTGCGTATGTGGACTATGAGAAAGCTTCATTTCCGTCGAAATTTGGGCGGTGCTACAGTCCCTTCAGCAGTGCCAAGTTGACTGTCGGTATATCGAAGCGCTGCAGTGTTTATACAGTAGGGCTACGATGGCTATCTGAGTACAGAACCAGAGTACGAAACCTATTCAATTGCAGAGAGGTGTAAGTCTTCACCGCTGCATTGGAAGACGTTTTCAAGCTTCTGGGCTGGAAAGGATACAGTATTAACATCAATGGCGAGTACATCACTCACCCACAATCTAAGCACCATGCTCAATGACCTCAATAGTGTCTCCCAACGGATAGGTCTTAAGATGAAAATGGACAAAAGAAAGATCATGTTCAATGTCCATGTCACACTTATGCCGGTAGCTGTTGGGAGCACTAAGCTCAAAATTTTTGACGAGTATGTTTACCTGGGACTAATAGTCTGACTAGGTAAGTCCAACTTCGAATGAGAGGTCAATCGACGGATTCAACTCGGCTGGGCAGCGTTCGGGAAACTACGACACATCTTCTCGTCAGACATTCCTCAAAAACGAAATTATACAACCAGTGCAGTGATGACTTACGGATCTGAGATGTGGTCCTTCACTGCTGGCCGTATGAGGAAGCTCAAGGTTGCTCAGCGTGCTATGGAGAGGGCTATGCTCGGAATTTCTCTGCATGATAAACTTAGAAATGAGGATATCCGCAGTAGAACCAGAGTGACCGACATAGCCCAACGGATTAGTAAGCTGAAGCGGCAGTGGGCCGGCCATATAGCTCGAGGAACCGACAACCGATGGGGAAGAAAGGTTCTTGAGTGGCAGCCTCGTACCGGTAGGCGAAGTGTAGGGTGACCCCCACGAGATGGAGTGACGACCTGGTAAGACATGCAGGAAGTCGATGGATGCAGGTGGCTCAGGAACGTGCTTTGTGGCATTCCTTGGGGGAGGCCTATGTTCAGCAGTGGACTTATGAAAGGCTGTAATGATGATGATGATGATGTAAGTGCACACTTTGACTACCTCTATTTCCTTCAACTATCCTTCAATAGGCCTGCTGGAAGAATTTTCAACATGAAATAAGCACTGCCTTTGTACATAATACTGAATTACATTTATGTTTTATTTTAGCTGATGAGGAGTTTGAACAGTTATGTTTTGAGTTTGGCTTGGAATTAGATGAAGTTGTAAGTATCAAAATCTATTTCTGTAGTGTAGTATAACCTCCATGTGTATTGATTATATTATATAACAGAATCATTAACTGAATTAATTGAGGTACAGTAGTAACATTTACATATTATTATATTTCAATTCATTATTAGCTTGTTTTAATATATATCATATATATATATATATATATATATATATATATTTAATTACAGACAACAGAAAAGCAAATGTTGATAAAAGAGCAAGGCGATCATGTAGCAGCAGATGTCTCTGAAGATATTTTGTACCGTATAGACATTCCAGCTAATAGATATGATTTATTATGTCTAGAAGGATTAGTAAATGGGATATTAGTTTTCCAAGGAAAGTAAGTTTCTACAATAAAGTTAAAATAAAATGTACTTTAAAAATTGGTTGAGTTCTCTGGTTTAACTTTGTACTGCTCAAACAATTGGGGGTATTGAGTTCTGCCTCCACCTCTGTTTATATCTTTTTATTTCTACCCTCTATCTTCGACGTGTAAATTTTTTTTATAAGAGAGGGGCCAAACAAGCATGCGGCTCACCTCATGGTAAATGACTACTGCCGCCCATGAACAACTGCAACATCAGGGGAATTGCAGATGCGTTACCAGCCTTTTAAAAAGGAGTAGGCTCTTTTCTTGAAACCTAGGATTAGGAAACTATTCCTAAATATAAAATACTAATTTTTATAACTTGTTTACTTGTTTTGTAACTAGGATTAGGAGTAATAGTTTTATCCAAGTTATCTAAAAAGAAAAACTTTTAAATGATCCTTCTTCAATAGCAAAACATAAATTGTTTTAGATAATAATTTAAAAAAAAATCCTATCCTATCTTCTAGTTGCTTAATTTGAATTTGAAATTTTTTATTTTAGGAAAGCACCACCTCAGTACAAGTTTAAAAAATATGAAGACTGTCATTCTCTACACCTCACTCCTGCAACTGCTTCAATTAGGCCTTATGCTGTAGCTGCTATCCTAAGAGGAATTAAATTCACAAAGGAAAGCTATGATAGCTTCATTGACTTGCAGGTATTTATAGAAAATTGATAATTTATCTACATTAGTTTACATAATGATTTCTTACGTTTAAGTAAATACTACACATTAAATGAAACTAATTAACAGAAAGGTACAAATTTTATATCTTAAACTTTAACGCACGTCACCCAAAGGGGACGTATACTATACGGGTGGGCATATACTACGGACTACCACTTGGCATAATTCTAACACACCTGTCTCACCTATTGCACATTCATATATCTACGCATACAGTTTGGTTAAGAGTACCCATAATTGGCCCATCTTTAATATATCGCCAGTTTGGTCGATAAACTTCGGTCTAGGGCAGGAGTCGGCAACCTTTTGAGTCGAAAGAGTCAAAAATTACAATTTACAAAATTTCAAAGTTTTTAAAGAGCCACAAATTTTTTCTTGCCTACCATAAATAGTACTTGCATAAATATAGTTTTAGATAAAGAAACTAATCCATTTATTCATAAGAAAAATATATATTTGGGCCATTCTCAAAACTGGACTTAAAATTCTAAAAAAAAAAATTCTTTTGATATTATTCCAAATATTCTCAAATGAAAGGTATTTTATCTTACATTACGAAGCACATAATAGCCTAGTTATTTTCACAGTAGTTTTCACAAAAAAGGTGAAAAATGAAAACAGCTATCCACGAAAGTGACACACCTCCACGGCTCGTAGTGACATACGAGGGCTGCACTAAAAGTATCGGGAATGGAATATTTCCACTGTCCTGTCATATTAATTTTTTTTTTAATTGAAAAGTCCTTGGTTTTAAAAATCGAATATCATTTATTTATTTAAAAAAAGATTCTCGGTCTTGTCACAAGATTTTGTCAAACTTGTTTAGTCGTTGAGAAAATGGAATTGACTCGAGAAAATTCAAGAGCGATGATTTATTATGACTTTTGAAGTGGTTTAACACAAAAACAGTGTGTTGACCAGATGATTTCTGCATTTGCTGATGAAGCCCCATCCAAAACCACAATTTATCGCTGGTTTGCTGAATTTCAACGTGGACGTGTCAAGCTCAGTGATGATCCCCGTCAAGGTCGTCCAAAAACTGCAGTCACCCAAGAAAACGTTGATGCTGTGCGTAAGCTGATTGAGGAAGATCGACATGTGACATACCGCGAAATTCAGGCAACTTTAGACATTGGCATGAGTCAAATACAAATAATCTTGCATGAACAATTAGGTGTAAAAAAGTTGTTTTCCAGATGGATACCGCATTCGCTCTGTGAAGAGCAAAAAGCGGCTCGCGTTACTTGGTGCGTCAGAACTTTCGAAAGATTCCACGCAGGATCCTCAAATGCTGTATACAACATCGTATCAGGTGACGAATCCTGGATATACGCGTACGAACCCGAAACAAAAAACCAGTCACGAGTTTGGGTGTTCGAAAATGAGTTAAAGCCAACAAAAATTGTTCGTTCACGGAGTGTTGCAAAAAAAATGGTGGCCACGTTTGTCTCCAAAACCGGCCATGTTACGACTATTCCTCTTGAGGGACAAAGAACGGTTAATGCAGAATTTGCTAGCATTTGTTTGCCACAGGTCGTTTCTGAACTCCGTAAAGAGAACTACAACCGCCGCATCATCCTCCATCACGACAATGCGAGTTCTCATACCGCACACAGAACAAAAGAGTTTTTAGAGCAAGAAAACATAGAATTATTAGACCATCCGCCGTACAGCCCCGACCTAAGCCTATTCTATACTTTCCCTAAAATAAAGAATAAAGTGCGTGGACAGAGATTTTCATCACCTGAAGAAGCTGTGGACGCCTACAAAACGGCCATTTTGGAGACCCCAACTTCCGAATGGAATGGTTGCTTCAATGATTGGTTCCATCGTATGGAAAAATGTGTCAAATTTCGCGGAGAATGCTTCGAAAAGCAATAAATACATTTTTAAATAGTAATGTTGTGTCACTTCCTTGATTCCCGAAATTTTCAGTGCCGCCCTCGTATTTGTATAATTTCAATAAACTATGAATGATTTATTAACGAATAAAACGATATTTTACTATGGTATTTATTTACGCTTAATCAATATTATGTTAATTATACATATTAAAAATAAGTTTTATAGGAACACAAGTCGGTTAACAGTCTTTTATTCAGTTCTGTTTGGTCACATAGACAACCTTTTAATAGTAAATAAATTATTATTAATCAACATTATTTAGTTAGCATATAACTTTGCAAAACTTTTACAAAATAAAGTATCTGAGACTTTTAAAATTATGATAAACGAGAAAGAAACCATAATAAACTAATAAAAAGTAGTAATAACTTAATCAGCTTTAAAGAAATCAAACACTGCGAAGAATCTTATTCATTAAATAATTTTAGCGAAGATGAGAGAATGAACTTAACAAATTATTTTTGAAGTATGTTACATTTCTTCGACCGCAATGTGGTTGTGGTAAAATAATATTTTCACCATTGACCTCCGAAATATCTTCACACTGTGGCCAAACAAACTCCGTGTACTCATCATTACACTTTTTCTTTCTCAAAAACTTGATCAAATACTTAGAATCCACTGCGGCGACAATTTGACCAATTTAAAATACTTCTGTCTTTTTGCAGACAAATTTATCGATCAATTTCCGGTTAGAAGCTACAGCTGTTATTTGAGATTTGCCAGATATGTTGCGTTTTTCAGTTAATATCACAGTATTTTCTAACACTTCATGTGGGATTTCACGACTAGGGCAAGGAAGAGATTTTTCATCGATGACACTTCGTGTATATATATACTTTCCTATTCCATAATGAGAACAATCTCTATCACATTTTGCACAGCTAAGTCGTCTTAAAAATATGGAATTGTCTTCATTCTTCGTCCAAGAGACTTGATAGGTATTCGTTATTCCTCGGATTGGTTTTAAATTCTTGGGAACGATGGAGTTAATTTGTACAATATCGCTTTCGTGTACTAACATGTATGTAATGTTTGATTCCTGTGAACATAGCACCTGAAATAAAGTCTGTATGTCTGTAATATCTCTTCCTTGGGAAACAAATCTATCGGCAGTCCTTTTAGTATAACCGCCTACACCATCAGGTGCTCCTTTGCCATGACTAGGGGCTGAATAAGACCATTCAGCTTTCCGCAAATTAAAAACTTTAGGCAAGAGGTTGCTAAAAATGTAAATCATGCTTTTGTTGCGATATTGTGTGGACGGAGCGTCGCTGAAGAAATGCAGACTGTGTATTGGTGATTTTTTGTTAATTTCATGTAGAACGGGTAAGACGTGAGCGTACACAGCACAGGCATCGTGGCGAAGATTTTCCGATAACGTACAAAAAGAGCGCGTGACAACTTGATCACTGGTCAAATCGCGGTAATATGCAACTATTGTATGTAATGTCAGCTGCTGGCGGGAAGCTCCAAAATGTACGGATTGAATTTCCTGAAAATATTTTATCTGGTAATTTTCTGAAAAGTCCATATATAGTAATATCTCCCCTACCTCCAAATTCTTCTTCAAGTCCTTGATGTATTTATTTATAGATTCGTAATAATTTGTTTATGAACCAAAAATTTTGGTATCAGCTCTATCAAAAGTTTTACCAAATCTACTTTAGTAATTTGAATTGTGTTTTTAACTGTTCTTACAACCAATTTTTCAGTTCCGTTTATGATCCTTGGTTCTTTTTTGACGACCCATTTTTTGTAGTAAGTTGGAGAGTTAATAAAATTATTTATTGTTAGAACTCTGTCTTTACAAACATTACACTGTCTTAGTACACAAATATCCGATTTCATATCACAGACGAATCCTTTAGCAACTTCATCTATTGAACAGTTCTGTAATATACGCAAAAAATATAACTTTTCGACAATGAAATTCAAGTTTTCATGATGAACACATAAACAAGTTTCAAGTACTAGCCTGTAAAACCCAAAATGGTTTAAGTCTGCAAAAAGTAGCGTAGCTCATTTGGCAGGTGTTTTCAGCTAAAAACTTTTTGTAAAGATTTCCAAGAAAATCATTTAGCAACCTCTTCTGCTTTTTAACCTTGTTCCGTGTAATAACATCTCTTTTGCCAGCCGTTAGCCGAGTATTCTCATCGTTCTCAAAGAAATTTACAACAGCAACCTTCTTACCTTGTATTGTTTTCATTTCTCTAACTGTATTCTTCCCGTGTTTCTGCTTTTGTGTAACATCATTATTTTGTTCAAGAATCGTTGATACCGTTTCTCTGTTCACTTTCATTCTTAAAGCGTTTACCTTCTTTTTCAGAGTTGAAATCATCTTTTCTTGAAGTTTCAGTTTCTTATTAAAAATGTATCTATTACGTTTTGCAGTCTTCAATCCAGTCTTCTTTTGGTATGATGTTGTACTACAATTACTTGGTGAACCAAGTATCCTAGGCGAGTAATTTTCCAACACAGACGGAGATGTCTCTCTGTATGATGACGAAAGTAGGCTTGAGACAGAATGAGATCGTCTGCATGAGACTGGAGGAGAATCTATGCTTGAAACAGTAGGAGAATGCCTAACTGAAACTGGATCATTTTCAATATCACTTGAAGTTATCATTTTCAGTATCATCTCGCAAACGGGATAAAAATCTATCCCTGCATTTTCTATTTTCTCTACATTTTTTTTGTAGAGAAAATAGAAAATGGGCGACGGTAGGCACTCACAAGTGAAGTGCCTACCGTCGCCCATGAACAACCGTGAGTTGCCGGTCTTTTAGAAAGGAGTAAGCTTTTATTGAAGGTCCCTAAGTCGTATCGGTCCGGAAAAATCGCCGGATGTAAACAATTCCACAGCGAAGTTGTACTAGGGAGAAAACTCCTAGTAAAACGCACAGTGGTGGACCGCCAAGCATCCAGATGGTGAGGATGGTATCGTGAATTTTGACGCGATGTGCATTCATGAAATTTGGCGGCTGGAAATAATCCGAACAATTCCTCAGAGCACCCGTGGTAAATTCGATAGAAAATGCAAAGGGATGCAACTCGGTCATCGACGATTCTCTGCGCTGGATGCGGTCAAGTGGAAAGAGCAGGCACTGGAGTGCCCGGCCCAGAAATGAGAACAGTATCCCATGTGAGGCCGAACTTGCGCTTTGTAAAGTTGCAAGCGATGTGCCGGCATGAAATACTGTCTTGCTCTGCTGAGCACGCCAAGCTTTTTAGAGGCGAATTTGGCCTTCCCTTCCAAGTGACCACGAAACTGCACACTATTCGATATGTCGACGCCGAGAATTCCGATGTTAGCTGAGGCAGCAAGGGGAGTGCCTTGAAGCTGAGGAGATACAACAAAGCGGTTCTTTGTCGTATCTCCTCACGGTAGTCTCCTCACGGTACTACCTCCGCCCATCTATGAGTCAGGTAGACCAGAAGATCACCAGCTGATCGACCCTGACAAGACCCGTGTTGGCGGTCACTAATCAGCTGATGATCCTCAAGGTACCTCATAAGCTGGCAGTTTGTAATGGACTCCATTATTTTGGAGAACAAGGAGGTGATGGCGATAGGCCTGTAGTTGGACGGGTCTGAACGGTCGCCTTTTTTAGGGACCGGGTTAACTAAAGCTGTCTTCCATGAATTTGGGACTACGCCTTGGGATTAGGAGTATCGGAAAAGACACGTTAAAACCGGTGCCAACTCCGGAGCACACGTCTTTAGCACAATGGAAGAGACTCCATCTGGTCCACTCGACTTGCTGACGTTCAGGGAGAGGATTGCTTTGGGAACCGAGCGCTGTGTAAATGGCACATTCGGCATGGAGCACTCACACCGCGGGATGGTCGGCGGTATGTTCCCTCGTCATCGAGAGTCGAGTTGGACACAAAGAGAGAGCCTAACAGATCGGCTTTCTCCTTTGCGGCATGGGCCAGTAAGTCGTACTCTCTGTGCAGAGATGGTAGAGATGACTGAAAGAAGTTCCCTTGGACAACCTTGGCGTAAGACTAGAATGCACGGGTTCTCGAAGGAAGGTGAACTAGCTTCTCGTCAATTCTGCCGATGTGCTCAGACCTTGCCATGACAATGACTTTTTGAAGGACCTGAAGGCGGAATTATGCATCTTTTTAAGAGCGCTGATGTTTACATCCAGAGACGTTGATGCGTCAGCTCAGGCCCGGTAGCACTCCTGCTTATAGCGTGATGCTATTTTATAGGAGCGATCAAACCATGTCTGGGATCTGCCTCCGATGGGCACCACAGAGGATGGAATAAAAAGTTCGATACCCTGAAGTACCACATCAGCAACAGAATCAGCAACAATGTCGGGATCTTCCGGCGAGAAGCTAACCCGCCCTCAAGGGTAGGATGCAAAATAAAGACCGCATCCTATCCCAATCGGCCGACCTATAGTACCAATCAGCCGGCAGCCTGCAGAATGCAACCCCGATGTTAGTGTGAATGGCACCACACTCCGGACAAGATAATGGTCAGGCAGGCTTGTCTGACCATTGTCATTTGAAGGATCACATTGAAAGGAGCGTCGATGGAAACAGGGAAGGTGCATGATCCCCCACATCAGGAATCCGCGTAGGCGAAGTAACAGCTGTGTAAGACCATATGCCAAGGCAAAGACATAAGCAGATCTCCCCGCATGATCGGTTGAACCTGAACCAAGCCATTCGGCGTGACGGGCGTTAAAATCGCCAAGGATCACGATATCTGCGGATGGGATCTGCTGTAACAAGGAATCCGTAGCCGTTTGGACGTGGTCCGATGAGTCGTTCCGTTTCGGCATTATCGCTATGGGAGCTATAGAGGCACCCGTAGACGCGTCTATGCGCAGCCATATGATGGACAGGTCCGTACCTTCAAGACTTATACGCAAAGTCTAGCCCGGGGCACAAAGGAGTGTTCTAATTTGTACCCCGGGTAGGAGAGATATGAAGTATCAGTCTGAGAGGCTTCACCGTCTGGAAGTGGAAGCGTAAAGTTTGGAATGAAGTCCCCTGGTGTTGCAAATATTCACGGATAGCGTGACAGAGATCGCCTCGGTCTTATTGCTCCGCTTGCCCCGAGCAGTTTTAGTCGCGAGCGGAATTATGGCCATCAATACGGGGGGCAGCCTGAGCACCCACGCTCATGAGGATAGCCTGGTCTTGGATGTTCAGCGAAGGATTGTACGTCACCAGGGGTGCTAGTAACCTGCTGGCATATAAACCGCTCATAGTGACTTGAACCACACGGTGATTTTTAGTAATATATCTACAGTTTAATGTTGCTGGGTGTTTCGTGTGGTGAGTGTAGAGAGCCGGTTAACCTTTTTACTGGTAACGAGGAAACAAATAGAAATTAATTGAAATTATAATTTTGTAAGTGTTACGGACGGCGAAGGGAGCCGACGCCCTGTCGCCCCCTCATACCCCGTTACGCCCCGCGCACCCCGCACACCGCCCGGACATCACGTGAGGTCGGCAACCAATGAGCGCACAGCAACACCGCGCGAGAACACGATCAAGACGGAACACCCGCCGCGGGAATAAAAGAAGAGGCATTTGGCCTCCGCCGGCATTCATTGATTCGATTCGAAAGCGGCACAGAAGACACTCAAGAAAGAAGGCTCAAGACTCTCAAAACAATCAAGACTCCCATAGAAGACTCCCTTTTGTGTAAATAACAGTAATCATAATTGCCGCCCTTGTAAATACTTTAATATATAATTGTAACGTGTACCACCTTTTCTTTAATAACGTCCCTAGCAGTTTGGTTCGTTGGTTGGTCGTCCCTAACGGTTTGGCCATGCACACCATCCGTCTTGATGACATAAGGAAAGAATAGATGTATTATTTTGTTTTAATTATACTCCTCTTAAAATGTATCGATATTTTAATTCTAATCATAAAGTTTGTGATTCCATTTACAAGTCGTTATTTTAGAAAATTGTGAGTTGAAATTAATTTGTAACTCGGTAACCTTATCTATTATTTCCAGGATAAACTTCATCAAAACATCTGCCGTAAACGAACCCTTGTGGCCATAGGAACCCATGACCTGGACACCATTCAGGGTCCTTTCGTTTACGACGCGTTGCCGCCAAGTGAAATAAAATTTAAAGCTCTCAATCAACAAAAGGAGATGACAGCGCCGGAACTCATGGAGTTGTATTCTGTATGATTGATTAAGTATTTTGTTGTACATAGATCTCTCTTTAAATTAGCAGGATTTAAAAAAAATATTGTTTGGATGTTCATCTGTTCCATTTATGATAACGCCAAGGATTTTAAATATATTGCCAGTATACAATTTTCAAAGACTAATTATTAGATTCTTTGTTATTGTACAACTAGGTAAGTCCTACTTCGATCGAGTGGATAAACGACAGATCCAACTCGGGCAGCTTGCGGGATATTACATCTTCTCATCACGTATATACTCGTATTTGCGTAACAAAATCATATTTTACAAATGAAATGTCCGTAAACACAAACGAAATCAAAGGTTTCTTTCCTATTTAATGTTTTTTCTTTTACTTCTTATAAGCCAGTGCTTGACCACAATCCCACCTGGTGGTAAGTGGTGATGCAGCCTTAGATGGTAAATCGCACTGTCTTATCGTAAGAAAAGCCTATTCACTCTTGCCTTGAAGACGCCTAGATTGTATTCGGACGGAAAGATAGACGCCGGCAAATTATTCCACTCCTTTGCTGTACGCATTACAAAAGACGAAGCAAACGGTTTGGTTCTAATGCGTGGAATATCGACAACAAAGGGATGAAGACCCGCCGACCGTCTGGTTGTCCGATGGTGGAAAGGAGAGGGAGGAATTAAGGCGTGTAATTCCTGCGCACACTCACCGAAATGCATCCTATAAAATACCGAGAGACTGGCTACTCTGCGCCTGTGCTCGAGGCTGACAAGATTGGTTTCAACCATATCAAGGTCACCAATGAGCCTCTTAGCACGTCTCTCCACTGAGTCCAATGGTGCCCAGTGGCATTTTGCAGCACCAGCCCATATGTGACAGCAGTACTCCATGCACGACCGGACTTGCGCTTTATATAAGGTAAGAAGCTGTCCCGGCGTGAAGTACCGCCGCACCCTTGCAAGGACACCAAGTTTCCTTGCGGCTGCTTTGGCTCTGGACTCAATGAACCGCCCATAGTTTAGGTTCGGAGAAAATTCAATCCCTAACAACTGAAGGCGGTCAGTGTACTCCAGTTGATCGATTTCGGCGAAGCCCGTACTGGCGATCACTGAGGAGATCATTTTGCTCTAGGTATGCCATGAGGTGGGCGTTCAATATACGCTCCATAATCTTGCAGAGTATGGAGGTAATTGAAATTGGCCAATAGTTGGCAGGGTCGGTACGGCTACCTTTTTTAGGCACAGGCTGCACATTGGCCAGCTTCCAAGATTTAGGCACTATTCCAGTCCTGAATGAGAGGCGGAACAAGCGTGTAAACACAGGAGACAACTCAGGTGCACAGACCTTTAGAACTATAGCTGGTATACCATCAGGTCCACTAGCTTTGTTCACGTCTAGACTTCGCAAGGTTTTAAGAACCTCCTTGTTGGTGATACGGTACCTCAGACATAGAGGTACCGCAGTGAGGTAATTGAGATGGTGCGCTGTTGTTACTGTCCAGACGCGAATTGCAAGCAAAAAGAGAAGCAAATAAGTCCGCTTTCTGGTTTTACCAGCGGAGGCAGTGTAGGAATGTAATTGGAAGTTTGTGTTTGTAATTATTTAATTGATATTTCAGGGGCACGCACAACTAAAGCAATATTTGGGTATAATCAAGGATAGTCCTGTTTACCCAGTAATAAAAGACAAGAACGGGGTGGTTCTGTCTATGCCGCCAATTATTAATGGTGACCATTCAAAAATCACGCTTGACACCAAGAACGTCTTCATAGAGTGTACTGCTACAGATCTCACAAAGGTAATTATAGCTTGCCTATCTGTACATTATTTCTATTTATCTAGTCGTGAAACATATTATGTGTCGACTTTCATTTGTCTTCATATTGTTGACAAATTGGATTTTGATAATAATAATTACAATTTTTAACAAAATAACTATGCCATGTTTAAGAATATCTACCACCCTATCAGGATGATCCTGTGGGTGTCGTAAAGGCGACAGAGGTAAACTGAAAGAGTAGATGGGCAGAACAAAACCCTATTCAATCTTGCCTTGAAGAATTACCTACATTACATTGTACATTACTATATATTATACATATACTACCATACCTACATTGTAATCAGATGGAAAGACAGACGCTGGCAACATATTATACGCATGAAAAAAAATACTACAATAAAGCAAACCGTTTAGTTCCAATGCATGGTATGTCGACAACAAACCTGCTTGTCGGATGGCGAAAGGGTGAGGGAGGAATTAAGTTATGCATTTGCGCATACTCTAAAATGTATCCTGTAGAAAAACGAAAGACTGAAAACGTTGCACTTGTTTTCGAGAATAGTCAGATTGATTTAAACCAGATTCGAGTATATTATTAGTATAGTTGTAGCACTAATGGGTCGGCTTGACCGGGGAAGGACCACGCTCTCACAGAATACCAGCGTAAAATGGCATCTTGACACTGCTGTGTTTCGTATGGTGAGTGTAGAGTACCGCAGACCCATTTTACTGGAGAAGAGGCATTCCATCTTAGTCCTCACAGATGACGACGCATCTGCATTTTGATACTTTATTGAGGATAAATGTAGATGTCTATGGGTCACAGCAACCACTTACTGTTAGGTGGACTGTATGCTCGTTTGTCACCCTATACTATATTTAAAAAAAAACGTAATGATCCGTAAGCACTTAGATAGCTAGATGCCTTAGCCTTTAATTATAATGGTTGTCTAAATCCTTCAAAACGAAACTTGAGACTATGAGCATAACTATCTAGATAGACTCCTTGACAAAGAACTTACAGGGGGTATTCCGTTAGATTAAAAAAAAAATTAGTTAATAAGTGCTGGTGTACCTTGTGATCTCCACTGTAGGAAAAAATCGTGAGGAAACCCACAACTACTTTTTTATACGTGATGGAGCTATGCTGCAGCACGAATGGGTTGGCTCGACAGGGGAAGGATTACAGAATACGTTTGTCAAAAAGCAGCATAATGCCGCTGTTCCGTATGGTGAATCACATGTACCCACTGATATACAAAAAAGTTTTTACTGGTATCGAGTCATTCCATTATAGTCCTCAGGCTGATTAAGCTTCTGCATTTCAATTCTTAATCGACGAAAAATGTAGGCGTTTAAGGGCTACATCTTTTTTTTAACTATTATAAGCGAGTGCTTGACACCTGGTAGTAAGTGGTGATGCAGCCGAGGATAGTAAAGCGCATTGACTTAGCGTAACAAAAACCTCTTGCCTTGAAGACACCCACATCCCACATTATAATCGGATGGTAAGAAAGATGCTGGCAGATTATTCCACTCCTCCGCTGTACTCATTATGAACGACGAAGCAAACGGTTTGGTTCGAATGCGTGGTATGTCGACAACATAGGGCGAGAACAGCCGAGCGTCTGGTGGTCCGATGATGGAATGGAGAGGAAGAAATTAAGTCATTCAATTCCTGTGTTCACTTTTTTAAATATATCTACTTACCATCAGGTGTTCTCTGTCCTCTAATGTATAAAAAATCCGTAATTAACTTACAAGGTTTCAATGCTACATGCATCTTTAGGCTGCATTGGCCACTTACCTATAGACCGCGTGATAGCTTATCATTCCCAAGGTTATAAAAGAATAGTTATATAAGCCTTCATTATATATATAATAAATTATGTTTTATTTATTTGTATGATGGGTGAATTTAGTGAAAACTTGTTTTCAGGCAACAGTAGTCCTAGACACGATTGTGTGTATGTTTTCCGAGTACTGTGCGAACAAGTACGAAGTACAACAGTGCAAAGTGTTCGCATCAGACGGTACCTACCAGCTGTATCCCAAATTGGACTATAGAGAAGAGGTGATTAGTATCGATAAAGCTAACAACTATATTGGAATCAGGTAAAGAACTATTTGATTCCCTTTTCTCATTTTTTTTTCGTGAGTGGTGTGAGTGATACAGCTGGCAAGAGACATGCTAGACAAAAGTCTATCGACCAAATTGACGATATATTAAAGTTGTGCTAAATTAAGAGTACCCTTAAGAAAAGCATGTAAGCGGTATAATATATGGATGTGAAGAAGTGAGAGAGGTGTCATGATCGTGCTAAATGGAAGGTCTCTGCTTACCCCTCTGGATGATAGGCGCGATGGTTTATGTATGTATGTATTTTTTTTACAAAATTTAATATTAAAAATAAGAAATATAGGAGAATCTTTTTTATACCGTGTTTTGTGCAAATAAAATATTATTATTGTATTGTTATTATTGTTATTATTAAAATGTAAAATCAACAGTAGTTCTTAGTGTAGAGTTTAAGAGTAGTTTTGAATTTAATGGTGATAAGTAACAGTACGCAATTGTTGGAGTGAGGGAGATGTTTTTTAAAATAGTTAATACACTTTTTTACATGATAGAGCCAAACTGTAGCATATTATGGTCGCTACGCTTACCACACTCACACTAAGCATAGCGAACCGGAGACCCTTTTTACTAATAACGAGGCATTCCATCTTAGTCCTTCATCTGAATTTCGTTTCTTAATCGAGGATAGATGTTTATGGGCCACAGCAACCATTTACCTTCAGGTGGACTGTTTGTTCGCTTGTCACCCTTATTCTATAAAGAATATCATTTACTTGTTGTACACAGTTCCCATCTTATTGTTTTTTCATCTTGTAATGTAGTGCTAATGAATTTTCGCAGTGTAACGCCTATTTTTCTTAATTGGCGTTTTATAATTTCATGTTATCTTGACTATTTCATTCCCATTTAAATATCATTTAACATTTTCATTTTTACATAATGTTGGCGGTTAAAGCTGACATAGATACTAAAGTTACAGCATATATACGTCCAACTGCTGGGCACAGGCCTCCCCTCACTTCTGAGAGGGTTTTAGGGCCAGGAAATGTCCGCCGCGCTGCCCCAACGCGTGTTGGGAACTTCACATGTCTTCGATTTTTTTTTCTTATTTCTCAGGCATGCAGGTTTCCTCACGATGTTTTCCTTCACCACCGAACACATGGTAAACCAGCACTTAAAAGGAGATGTTCCAGAAAGGTATGGAGCCTGGGCCAGCACTATGTACACTATATGTAAATATCGCTATATAATATAGTAACCGTTTTTTATTGTTAGTTTTCTTTAATTTCACTTCGTTTGAATGTACATTCAAATTAACTTGGTCAAGGAGAGCAACACAACATTAAATTAAAAATGGTGGATCACAGAGAAAACACGAAAAATGTCATTTTGACATTGACATTTGATTGACGTGTATCGTAATATCTGCAATAAAAAAAACAATACGAATTTCGAAAATCTTGCGATTCGATAATATTAGACTACAGGATATTCTACTCGATTTTGGTAGCACATCTTATATCACCTATTAGAGTAGTTAGAGATTGGTTATATCGAAACGAAACGAAGGCTTGAAAGTTATTTTGTTTAGTAACACTGCTGCTTCATTCTTTAGCGCGTATCAATATATTCTGGACTTCGATAATTCATAGGTGAGCAGTGAGATGTGCAATATCTGACAACTGCAAGTTATTGTTAAAGTAGTTAACTATTCCTATTACACAGTAACAACTGGGAAGATACCAACTATTTTAGTTCAATTAAGCAGCAGCAGCATAATCAGCCTATAATGTTCCCACTGCTGGCACATATACCTCCTTTCTGTGAGGGAGTGGACTGTAATCCACCATGCCGGCACAATGCCCAACTAAATACTATCAATTTCTCAAACAAGTTCAATGTTATATAATTCCTAGTATTAGCGACATCAAAAAGATGAGAAATCAGTCATAGAGGTATATAAATAAAACAACTTGTTGGGACTTATGATTTTATTCGTTTTCCACATCATCCCTTATTAATATTCCATCCAGGAATGACACCGGTGCTTCTATGCTCTCTTGGTACTGAGCCCAACCCAAATACCACACAAAGGTCATGACATGAGCACATCAACCCATTGTCCGTTGTCCGAAGATACAATTACTTTATCATCCCTACTTGATCCTTCCCTTGCCAGTAATATGTAGGTATATGTTTGTCCTGAGCATGTCAAGATTTTATATGGCCTCTTATTAAAAAAGGATCAAGTTGGGATGGGGTTGCTTCTGCTACTACTTCCAGTTCGTCCGATACTTTTATCTGAAATGATCCATGCTGCCTAATGTGTTCCCCGAAATAGCTTCTCTAGTCAGTAAAGCGGTTGATCCGGTTAGCAATTATAAGTTCTGTTAACCGGTTGGGCATATTTTTTCTCTGCATTGCTCGAGTAAGTATAGCATCAGCATCTGGTCTATTTTTAATCACTGGATGGAAGGCAGTAATTATAGCTGCACAAATATGAACATAGTCCATCAAACGGGTGGCAGTGAAATTAAAATATTCATGTCTCAGTAGCTTAGTCTCTTTTAAATCGACCATTTACTACCTCTACCACCCATCTGCATAGTATCACACACCTTGTTTTGTTCGCATTGATGGTCGATAATTGAGTCTCTCCTTGTTCTAAGGACTCTGGTTTAAATACTTTGAAGCCGTTGGGCTTTGTTAGGGCCCTCTACCATTAGAATGGAATCACGAAAGCCTCAATCCAAAATGAAAACATCATTGGGCTGAAAAAAGCCCTTAGACCCTCGTTTTCATTTTGGAATAAAGCTTTCATGATGTCAGAATTTGATTTTGTTGCTGGATAGGGCCCCAAAATATCAATAATGTAACCATTAGTGGCAACAATCAGAAAAGGTTTAAGTTTTCTATATTTGTGCAAGCTATAAGTATGTTTTTGAAACATGTAGTTGGATGATTTTTGAAGATATATATAGGTATCATCACATATTATTATAGGTACTCTTGCCTCTTTGTTTCCAAACAAGCCTTCGGGTAGTAATAAATTCCTATTAATTAAATCATTTCTTGTGGGATTGGGAATCAATAATATTTTTTCCAAAGTCACAAATATTTTTTCAGTTTTTAATATAATTTTTCTTAAGTATTCCGGCACTCTATTTCGTTCTATGTTGCTACAAGCCGGCACAAAACAATGAGCACTTGTCTGTGTTGTGTGTGTAAAACCATCAAGTGTTATTGATGCACTTGGTGGCTGCATATCAAATTGTTGCACCACTTCTTGCTCCATTCCTATATTTTCCTGTGCATTTGTCTAGCAGTTGGAACAAAAAAGCGCATGTTATGGTAACTGAAACAATAAAAAAAAAACAATTTACTCATAGGGGCAACAGATAGGGTTACTAATAGTTGAATGTACAGTAACGTTACTTGTGTATGGTGGTTTGGTAAATTAAAATAATCTAACCTCATTTGGGTAAATTCTTGCTGGAACTTCATCTCTCACAGGACCACTAGCCATGTGTGTTAGCCTTCGGTGTAGCGACATTCTACATCATGCACACATAGTCTTGGTGAAGGCTAGATGGGGCTGGAGTTTGCCGATTATCCTCAATCCTTGTAGCATGCTCCACATTTCTATGTGCTGCTACCCAACAAGCATAGCAAACCAGTCCTCCTGGTGGAATCTGAATAAAAGAAAAGAATACAATATGTATTGGCTATTCACACAATTATTTAATTTCAACACTAGATAATTAAGTAAGTTGTTATTGTTACCTCTCTTGGATATATTGTTTCTGTTATTATGGTCCATTCAGGTCCTTCAGGTATAGAGTGGCTATGTGTCTGGGCAAGAGACCGTCAGCACCATACACCTGCATTCATATTCATAAGAGTAGAAGCTGCTATGTATGCTTGTTGTTGTATGTACCCAACAAGTAAATGTGTGTTATTAAGGCACCCTCTGGTATCTAAAACAAAAAATATGAAATTAAGATTTATTTATTTATATCACAACATTTTTAAACAATTTAAATTAATCAAGATTCAGTTATTTCAATATCACTTTTACAGACTCATCCAAGGTGATGTTATATATAAGTCACATGTCTACACACATTTCCAAAAACTAAATTGTAACTGTTCTTTTTCTTCCTGAAAAGATATTATCTTGGACCATAATAAGAAACATCTGCATTTACCTGCCTTGTATGAATTAAAAAGAAAAAAAAGAAGTGCTTACCTCTCTTGGAGCAATTGTTTCAGCAATATATTGCCTTTCTGCACCCTCGGGAATCGAGTGAGCACACGTCCTAAACAAAGATGTCCTACACCTAACATAAACATTGCTATCATGGCAATGCTGGAGTTCATGATCTCCGTGTGCAAGAACACTATCATTAGACATTTCTTGCATTATGATAGCAAAGCATTGTGAGCACATCATTCCATCAACCTAAAACAAAATAAAAAAGGGGTTATCCAGTGTTTATAGATGTTACAGTATATAGATAAATAAAATGTTTTTTACCAGATGGCCAAGATGCCGCTCGATGACGGAAATTATTTCGGGACCCATATTATCGGCAGTATAATATTATTCATTTTTATCTATTACAGAGGTGCACTGTAGGCACGCCATTGTCAATAAACTGGAATAAGTATGAGTAAAAATCTTTTAGAATATGGAACAAGGGAAGAAAACATCACATAGAAATAGCATTTGAACAAAACATCGAGTAAATGCATGGGGACATACCTGAAACTGAATTTGTTATTATAAAATAACACACGACAGAACCCAAATCACAAGACTCAAAGACGTCACTTCTAAAACTGTCACAGTCGTCAAACGTCATATCAAACACAACTGTCATGGCTGCCCTTCAAATAGGGTTATCATAACATAAAACTTTTGAAATGATCATTTTTGTACGGCTATACCCTTTTTCAAATTAATTTCTTAGTATTTTTATGAAATTCCTCAATTTTTTTCCTATTTATCTATGTAGTGTACATAGTGGTGGCCCAAAATCGAACATCTCCTTTCAATTAACAATTTTATTGGTGCTGGCGGGGATCGAACCCGGGTTGCTCGAGTACCGTGAAATTTACATAGATACTAATCGAGTAATTATTAAGTATAGGTGTACCTTACATACCTTGTAAAATTTGGTTAAATAAAAAATATCGATAAACAGAATATCCGACAACCTGATTCTTTGAAAAAAAAAACACGGGCTTTTTGAAAAATAACTTTATAAATGCCGTGAGTCGAAACCGGTCGATTTTATTATTAATATAATAATTTAAAATAAATATTGTGAAACTAGTACAAGTGTTTATCCAAACCACAAAAAAAAGCTTTATAAATCCTTATACTGTAAAAAGTTGTGGTTTAATGAAGTTAACGATGTGTTTAAAGTGAGGAGGGCGATAGCTTGGCGACGCTTCTATCCCGCATGTGCCTGAGTACGACGCTGCAGGGATCCAGCCTGCGGGTGCGGGTGCCGCCCACGCGACATGACGTCATACACGCGTGTGATCTCTACGAGGATATTGCCATCGCATATGGGTAATAAATATATAATTCTAAATATATCATACAAATATATCAAACGTTTCTATGTGTATTTACATCACAGATTCTTGATTTTATTGGAACGATTATGTTGGAAGCGGACTTGGTATTGACATGTGACGATATATCGCTGTCGTTTGAGACATAGATAACTGCATACATTTCAGGGCCCCAATATTGTTATCGTGTCGGCCAATGAAAAAACTATTTTAGAGTATTGAACAATACTATGAAGTATATACTAAAGTATTGTAAGCTGTACTTTCAGGCTGATACTAACATTGGGCATTATTCGTTTATTAGTATCCTTATATTCTCAGAACTCAATTATCGGCCTCTTCCAGTTCATAGTCACCATGTTGAACTTACCTTGTAGGAGCTAATCATACTTCTCTCTTCTTCGTAGAAAACTAAAAATCAACTGCTAGACACATCTCCTCTACCTTCAAATAAAAAAAAAAAAGATTTGCCGCTTCGATCAACAATACCAACTAGGTAACGGGTCACGTACAAAATCATAGCTAAATGCTGTCCGCGTGAATGTATAATAATTCAAATATGATATATTTGTTAGTTTAGTTTCTACGTGTATTTACCGAAAGTAAGACACTCCGGCCGTTAAATTGCTTTTTCGGGCATTATTCTTGCAACTTTTAAATACACATTGCGGTATTGTGAAACGTGTTTACATTGGCTGTGTTTCAAGTCAATTAAATGAAATAAGAGCTCACGTCTACAGTGCGCTCTTATTTACTTGGACGAATTTTTTGCGCCGACCCGACATCTAGTCGGGTATTGTTGATCGAAGATTTGCCGTAATCGCCACGCCTGCCAAGCAAATTGGCGATCACAGTAGTATCAAATATATTGAAGCTTTGACACTGCTTCTCATCGTCGGTTCTTTTTGGGTCTGGCGTTAAATGGCCATGTATCGAAATTATGCGATTTTTCTGTAATTTTCCATAGTAATTGTTATTTGTTCGCTGATGGTTTTAAAATTATGCATTAATAATGAATATGATCTTATAAAGTGTTGCCTCACTTACCGCATTTTAAATTTATGGCCATGGGACTCTGATTCTAACAGTCATACATGTATGACATTATGAAGAAGCTTGAAGTCACTCAGCGAGTGATACAAAGGCCTATACTCGAAATTTCTTTGAGTGATAGAATCCGTAACGAGGATATCCACAGAAGATCAAGAGTGGGATTAGTAGAACATAAGTAGGCTGAAGTGGCAATAGGTCGTCATACAGCTCAAAAAACTAATAACCAATGGGGAAGAAAGGCTTTCGAGTGGCATCCTTATACTGCAGTGACAACCTGATAAAACATGCAGTTAGTTGATGGGTGCAGATGACTCAGGGCTGTACTTTGTGGTAAACTATGGGAGAGAATTTTCAGCGGTGGACTTGTAATGGGCTGTGTTGATGATGATGATGATGATATATTATTATAAAATGGTTCAGGTACAACCGCATAGAGAGGCGGGCGGCGAACTTGGCGACTAGCGGCAGCCAACAGCCCGCCAACAAGCTCACCGAACAACTGCGACTCGAGTGCGCGCACGCCGGGTACACTGAAGCTCTCACTTTCACACTCGTTAGTATCTACACTGCAATAAATTGCTTTAGTGCTAATGATGGTGTACTCTTGCTTGATTTTAGCAAACTTTCAAAAGATTTGTTATCGCTTTCAACTGCACATTATATCTACTTCTATATTACACTTTTATAAATATTTTATCTCACGAGAGCGGGCTAGCTTTACTTATGGGTGTCATGTGTACAGACACTTGTTTATGTTTGTAGATAACGTTTGCAAGATAAACATAATTTAATAAAATATTATAATAAGTTACCAAGAACATTTAGGTATGTAGTGATGTAAAATTATATTTCATTTTATAACCAATTTACAACAAAAGGAATTTCCACTCATCCATTACATCCTTTAAAAGCCAACTGCTGAACATAGGTGGGCTTCCCCCACAGGCTGTGTCATAGCCTGCCATAATTGCCACGCTTGACAGACGGGTTGGCAACCGAAGTTTTTTTTTTCATTTTTTGTCATCCCTATTTCAGTTTCCCTTTGTCAGCTCTTACCGACACACACTGGACGATATGGATATTCTTAAATATAAAATGATATAAAATGGTTTAAAAATGAATTTCTTTACTCTATTTGCATTTTGTGAGAAAATGATACACGTTTACGATCATTCGATGACACTAAAATAAGCAATACATAATTAGAAACAAATAATTACACGTTATAATCAATCTAACGCTCTACTGTTTAAAAAACGACATATTCTTTTGTTAACATCACTCCTAATGACTTTTCTCCGTTTACTTTCCATTCTGTCTGGGATTCATAGCACCCGAAAGATTCATTCATCGAACAGTACCTGCGACGGGCGGCCAGGCACTCTAACCATTAGGTTAAAGTCCAATCCATTATTCCGTTACAGCCTATAGAAGACCACTGCTGAACATAGTCCTCCCTATATATTGCCTCATAGGGGTGATTTTGCCACAGTTGCCACGCTTGGCAAGTGGGTTGGTAACCAGTTTTTTTACTATGTTGAGTTGTTATTAGGAAGATGCTGCTGCCCATTTCCTGTTTCAGTTTCCCTCTGTTACGACACCCACTGGAGGATATGGGGTATTGGATATTCTTTCACCGCCACTACACGGTTTGGGTATCGCCACAACAGGTTAATGTCATCTAGTAGTAATCATTAAGCACGAGCGATTAAATATATTTAATCGTGGACAATGCTTTATTTTACGAACAGGCCACACAGGTTAAAGCAGCAGTGTGTGTAGCAGTGGCATGCATAACTTGAAAGATACATATTCAAAACCCGCTGGGCTTCGGGTTAGGGGCATTTCTTTTCTGCCTCGACAAAGCAAACGTATCGCTTCTGTGAGAAACTGACCTTAGTCACATATTTCAGAAGCCACGGGTTGAGATGGGTTGAATGTTCATGTGCTGCCACCACGTGCCGCATATTGCATACAATCCCTTACTTTTACATTGTAGTTTTAAGTCAAATGTAAATATATATTTCAAATTCTCTTTCAGTGCTCGAGGGAAGACATAGCTACTAAACTCGGTGTAAAAATTGAAGACTTACCTGCAGTCCACATCTCTAACCCAAAGACCCTGGAGTTTCAAGTGGTCCGGACTGTGTTGCTGCCAGGTCTTCTTAAGACCTTAGCTGCTAATAAGAAAATGCCCCTACCACTGAAACTTTTCGAGATAAGTGACGTCGTGTTGAAAGATAAAAGTTCTGGTACTAATCTACTATATTCTATTCTTATTTTTATATTCATCCAAAAATTTTGTGATATTTTATTAACACACATTTTATTTTGTTGACGTTGTGGGCTTCTTTAAAATCAAAAATGTATAATGGATTCATAAAAAAAAATATTCATTTTTGATTTTATCGACGATATTCCAGAAATGTAGAACATTTTTCTATATTAATTTAAAAAAAAATATATAGGACTCCGTAAGGACTGTCGTCCATGACGACACATACATGCCTAAATATTTAATGATTAATATATAATCGTTGTCGTCGTCGTAAGTGTGAGTAACGATCCAAGAGCAAGTCTTATCTGACACTATTCCGATGACATCCCGGACGTCAGTCTGAGCGACATTAGAATGTCTCTCCAGCACCTTAAAAACGGCAAGGCCCCAGGCGAGGATGGAATTACAACGGAGCTTCTGAAAGCGGATGGAAAACCTGTACTTGAAGTCCTTCAGAAGCTCTTTAATTCCATCCTCCAATTTCGGACTACTCCACGAGGCGTGGAGCAGAAGTACGGTGGTCTTGTTCTTCAAGAAAGGCGACAACGCTCTCTTGAAAAATTACAGACCGTATTCTCTTCTGAAAGTTCCGAAGTTCCCGTCTACGAGCTGTTTTCGAGAGTCATTACGAATCGTTTCGCACGCAGACTCGACGACTTCCAGCCTCCCGAACTAGCCGGTTTCCGAAAAGGCTTTGTACCATAGACCACATACATACCCTTCGGCAAATTGTACAGAGGACCAAGGAGTACAATCTGCCACTAATCTTGCGTATGTGGACTATGAGAAAGCTTTTGATTCCGTCGAAATTTGGGCGGTGCTACAGTACCTTCAGCGGTGCCAAGTTGACTGTCGGTATATCGAAGCACTGAAGTGTTTATACAGTAGGGCTACGATGGCTATCTGAGTACAGAATCAGAGTAAGAAACCTATCCAACTGCAGAGAGGTGTAAGACAGGGTGACGTAATATCCCCGAAACTCTTCACCGCTGCATTGGAAGACGTTTTCAAGCTACTGGACAGGAAAGGATACGGTATTAACGTCAATCGCGAGTACGTCACTCACCTTCGATTTGCCGACGATATAGTCCTTATGGTAGAATCGCTGGAGGATCTAAGCACTATGCTCAATGACCTCAATAGTGCCTCCCAACGGGTAGGTCTTAAGATGAACATGGACAAAACGAAGATCATGTGTAACGTCCATGTCAGGCCTATGCCTGTAGCTATTGAGTGCACTAAGCTCGAAGTTGTTGACGAGTATGTTTGCCTGGGACAAATAGTCCGACTAGGTAAGTCTAACTTCGACCGAGAGGTCAATCGACGGATTCAACTAGGCTGGGTAGTATTCGGGAAATTACGACACATCTTCTCGTCAGGTATACTACAAAACTTGAAAACGAGATTGTACAACCAGTGCGTGTTGCCAGTGATGACTTATGGATCTGAGACAAGGTCTTACTCTGCTGGCCGTATGAGGAAGCTCAAGGTCGCTCAGCGAGCTATGGAGAGGGATATGCTCGGTGTTTCTCTGCGTGATAAACTTAAAAACGGGGATATCCGCAGTAGAACCAGAGTAACCGACATAGCCCAATGGATTAGGAACCTGAAGTACCACGAAAAAGTTAGCTTGGAACTATGACCGCTCAGATTAAGGAACAAGTGCTCTTAATTGCTCACAAAATGCTCAATTCAAGTCCGCAATGGTTAATTATTTAATTAGTTATTAATAATTAAGTACAAAATTGTTTTTATTATACGTAAACCAGTTAAAAATGTTTTTTCTAATAAATTACTCACCATATGCTTACATAGTGTATAAATTATTATAAACGCACATACTCAATGTTCCCGCTATAAAAAAGGAAACAATTTTAAAGCTAAAAGTAATTTATGTTCATCATTCAAATATTTAATAATAGCATTAACTTGCATAAGGTTATACATAATTTGCAATAAATTACTTAACGTTGTCAAAATTAAAATTAATAATTTCAAAGAGCTATAATTAAAAAATGAACGCACAATGATTTAGAGGTTATATAAAAATATTTACTTTTGCCACTTGCACATACGTGATTCAAGGACATGCGCACAAGTAACATAGGTACTTCTTGATGCTCAGGACGTTCATTGCTACTTTTGATGCTACTTTTTTTTTTTTAAGTGTTACAATATTTTTTAATTAATTAACGATAAATAAAATATATTTCATAAAAAAATTGAAGAAGCATACGGTGAGCAATTTATTATAAAAACTAATTTCTAAGAAAAGTCCATTTGTTTACATATAATAGGCAAAAACAATTTTGTACTTTTAATAAATAATATCTAATTAAATAATTAATTAATAATGTGAGCAGTTGCGGATTTGAATTGAGCATTTTGTGATCAATTAAGAACACTTATTCATTAATCTGAGCGGTTATAGTTACAAGCCAACTTTTTCGTGGTACTGAAGTGGCAAAAAAAGTGACAACCGATGAGGTAAAAAGGTTCTCGAGTGGCAGCATCGTACCGGTAGCCGAAATGTAGGGCGACCCCCCACTTGACGGAGTGACGACCTGGTAAAACATGCAGGAAGTTGATCGATGCAGGTGGCTCAGGTCTGTGCTTTGTGGCATTCCTTGGGGGAGGCCTATGTTCAGCAGTGAACTTGTGAAGGGCTGTAATGTTGATGATAATTTGATTCATTTGCAGAGACAGGAGCGCGTAACGAGAGACGTCTGTGCGCCGTGTACTGCGGCCGAGCCGCCGGCTTCCAGTTCGTGCACGGACTACTCGACAGACTAATGGCGCTTTTGAGGCAGCCCTGGAGTAAAGAAGGAGGTTACTACCTACGTCAGAACGACGGTGAGTGAATAGAACCCAATCTTATAGTACATTAGGTGACATCTATTTAAGTATTTTAAACATCTTACTTTAAGCATACAATTCATTCTTCCCTAACATGTATTTCATGTTTTGTGTGTCTTTTTTTTAAATTTAATGGTTTTTATTAGTTATGAAAATCGCGTTTTGGTTAACTGGCCACTTTGAACTGTTTAGCCAAGGTAAGAGTCTGGAAACTTATTACAAGCGTCTCGCAACGCACTAGCCGGCAGCCGGTCAAAATGTTATGTTAATTGATAGAAAATTACTGCAAAAAAATCACAAGCATGTAATAGGGCCTCACACTTCCATGATATTACTGATTCGGTATAGGAAGAAGGGAATTTTGAGTCGAATTATTAGCTGCGATAAGAAGTTGATCTATACGACAATAGCAAGTGTTCATCACAGTGGCTAGATACAGGTGCCCAAGCCAAACAGAGCACGAAACGAAAGATTATCCAGAAGAAGCTTATAGTGAAAGTTTGGTGATCTACTCTTGGTGTTATTCAATTATAGCTTCTTGCCATCTCGTGCCACAAATACTGCTGACCGTTATTGTTAAGTATTGGAAATGATGGTGGTGGAACCGGCACTGGTATTCGAATAGTTAGATTGGTGAACTACCCTCTCTCGCCTCTTTGCTCTTTGCCTCACATACAGCACAACAAACGACGTTAACAAAATTAGCATAGCTAAAATTAGGAGGAAGGGTCTCTCCATACACCATATTCTCCAAACTTTATAACTCTTTTTTTTTCGAAGTTTGGATAACTTTTTAATAGCCACATCACCATTTACTATCATGTGATGGAGTAGCCGATACTGGCTTACAAAAGTATAAAAAAGAAAAGTTACAGACCTCCTCTTATTTTCCAAGGGATATAACTTGGTTTGTTGCAAGTGTGACATTAAGACGTTTAACCGTAATTATATTTAGATGGCAACATTATTAATATTATACATCACCTTTTTTTTCATTCATTTCAGACCCAGCGTATTTCCCGGGTCGTTGTGCTGAAGTAGTACTCCGTGGAGAAGTAATCGGGAAAATTGGTGTCATTCACCCAACTGTGTTGACAGCTTTTGATCTCTCAAACCCTTGCTCGGCTGTTGAGATTAACATTGAACCCTTCATTTAATTTATATGTAAAATAAATTATATGTTAATTACCTGTCTCGTTTAATTGATACCTAACCTTAAATAATAATTCATTTTATGATAACTTACAAAGTCGTCATTCATTTATTACCGTTAAAGACTATAAAAGTCCACTGCTAAATATAGGCTTCTCCCATAGATTGCCTCAGGGGTATATTTGGCATAGTTGCCACGTTTGGCAAACGCAGTTTTTAGTCGTAATTAGGAAGACCCTGCTGCCCATCTCCTGATTTGTTTTCTCTCTGTCGCCTCTCACGACACTCATTGGATGATATGGAGTATTAGATATTCTTACACCGACACTACACGTTAAATTCATTCAATTCAGCCTATCAAGGTCCACTGATGAACAAAGACCTCTCCCATATATTGGCTGATGGGGGGAATATTTACCCTAAAAACCCCTAAAATTAAACTGGATTTCTAATTCAACACTCGATTTTACGTCAACATCCTTTACAAATTATCCAAATTTCATGTCTGTAAAGTTTTTTTTAATTCACGCAGATCGATTGAGCCGTAAATACTTGTAGTTATGATGTGACACCCACGTTTGTGAGTGTGTGAGACGTGTCGTAATTGAACAAAAATAAGTTACCTAAGTAATGTGTGCATAGCTCAAGGTCTAAGCGCTCGCTGTAAATTTCACAGCAGTTACACTTACCAACCCGAGTTTGATCCCCGCCGGCACCATTGAATTTGTCACTTGCATTAATATTAAGTGCTGATTTACCACGTACCTGGCAGTGAGGGAATCATCATGAGGACACCTACATGTCTGAGATATAAAAAAAAACTTTTAACAGTTGTAGATCCATGCGGCAGCTTATGCTGTCGCACGGTTGGACCGGCTCGAACCGGGGCGGTACCACGACCTCACAGAATACCAGCGTGAAGTAAAAGTTTACTTCTGCATTTTGCCTGGTGAATGTAGGTGGCCGGAGGCCCATTGCAGCTTGCCGCCGTGTTTGGCACTATAGGTCGGCCGATTGGGACAGGGTTCAGTATTTTTTTTTTTTGCATCCTTTCCCTTGGGGGCGGGGGTTTGCTACTTGTCGGATGATCCCAACGGTAATGCTGATTCTGTCGCTGACGTGGTACTTCAGGGAATGAAATTATTTATTCCATCATCTGTAGTGGAGATCCTTCCCTATCGGAGGCAGAACTCAGCCATGGTTTGGTCACTCCTGTAAAATTACATCACGCTATAAGCAGGAGTGCTACCGGGCCTGGGCTAACGCATCAACGTCACGGGATGTAAACACCAGCGCTCTTAAAAAGAAGTATAATTGCGCCTCCAGGTCCTTCAAAAGTGTCATTGCCTAGGAAAAGTCGGAACACATCGGCAGAATTGGCGAGAAACTAGTTCGCCTCCCTTCAGGAATACGTGTATTCCGGTCTCTCGCCAAGGCTGTCCAAGGGAACTTCTGTCAGCCATCTCTGCAAAGGGTAGACGACTCACTGACCCATGCCGCAAAGGAGGAAGCCGATCTGCTAGGCTCTCTCTTTCCTTCCAACTCGATTTTCGATGACGGGGGGAACACACCGCCGATCATCCCGCGGTGTGATTGCTCCATGCAGGAAGTGCTGTTAACACCGCGCTCGGTACGCAAAGTACTCCTCTCCTTAGACGTGAACAAGTCGAGTGGGCATGATGGAGTCCCACCTATTGTGCTGAAGTCGTGTGCTCCGAAGTTGGCATCGGTTTTAACGCGCCTTTTCCGGTACTCCTACTCTCTAGGCATTCTCCCGAACTCATGGAAGACACTTTGATGCACCCGATCCCCAAAAAGGCGACCGCTCAGATCCGTCCAACTACAAGCCGCTATCACCTCCTTGTTCTCCAAAGTAATGGAAACTATTATTAACTGCCAGCTCATGCGGTACCTTGAGGATCACCAGCTGATTAGTGACCGCCAGTACGGTTTCCGTCGAAGTCGCTCAGCTGGTGATCTTCTAGGTTACCTAACTCATAGATGGACGGAGGCAGTGGAGTCCAAAGGGGAGGCGTGTTGGCCGTTAGTTTGGACATTCGATCGGGTCTGGCACAAAGCGCTTCTTTCGAAGCTTCCTTCCTATGGGCTTCCCGAGAAATTGTGCAATTGGATCACCAGTTTTCTTGCAGATCGGAGCATCAAGGTCGTAGTAGACGGTGCATGCTCCGATTACAAGCCTAATAACGCCGGTGTTCCACAAGGCTGCGTGCTATCACCAACGCTGTTTCTTCAGCATATCAATGCTATGTTGCAAACTGGTAACATTCATTGCTATGCAGGCCAATATTTCTCGGGAAAACGTCGCCGAGTACCGGTACAAACTTGTCTGAAGTCGAGACTTTGTTGAACAAAGTCTCGGACTGGGGGCGACTAAATCTAATCCAGTTCAATCCCCAGAAGACACAAGTTTGCTCGTTTACCGCTAAAAAGAACCTCTTTGTCGTATCTCCTCAGTTTCAAGGCACTCCCCTTGTTGCCTCAGCCAGTATCGGAATAATCGGTGTCGACATATCGAGTGATGTGCAGTTTCGTGGTCACTTGGAAGAGAAGGCCAAATTGGCCTCGAAAAAGCTTGACGTACTCAGCAGAGCGGGATAGTATTTCATGCCGGCACACCACTTCCAACTTTACAAGGCGCAGGTTCAGCCGCACTTGGAATACTGTTCTCATCTCTACTATGAGTACTAGTACACCAGATGGAGTGACGACCTGGTAAGACATGCAGGAAGTCGCTGGATACAGGTGGCTAAGTACCGTGCTTTGTAGCATTACTTGGGTGAGGCGTATGTTCAGCTGTGGACTTGTGAAACTGTAATGATGATGACGATGATGAATAGCTTATACTCATTACATAATTATTTAATTCGATGTGAGCGTTTTTGTTCCTTTTATAAAAAATCTTTACCCTTCATTTGGGCCCCCCAATAAATTTTGATACAGGACCCGTCTAAGGCACGCTATGCTACTGCCTCCATGTCATGCCTATGACGGTAGTTGTTTTGAGCACTACGCTCCAAGTTGTTGACGTTGTACAACTTCGACCGAGAGGTCAATCGGCGAATTAAAATCGACTGTGTAGCGTTAGGGAAATTAAGACACATCTTCTCATCAGGTACACTTCAAAACCTGAAAACAAGATTGTGTACAATCTCGTAACTTGTAATCTTGGGTGTAACCAGTGCGAGTTGCCAGTGATGACTTATGGATCTGAGACGTGGTCCTTCATTGCTGGTTGTATGAGTAAGCTAAAGCTCGATCAATGGGTTATGGAGAGAGCTATGCTTGGGGTTTCTCTGCGTGAGAGACTTAAAAATTAGAATATCCACAGTAGAACCAGAGTAATCGATATAGCCCAACAGATTAGTAAGCTGAAGTGGCAATGGGCTGGTTGTATAGTTCAAAGAACTGACAGTCAATGAAGTGGTTGAGTTCTCGAGTGACAGCCTCATACCAGTAGGCGAAGTATTGGGCGGCACCCCACTAGACGGAGTGACGACCTGGTAAGACATGCAGGATGTCGATGGAAGCAGGAGACTCAGGACCGTGCTTTGTGGCCTTATTGTAAAAACTAACTTATTTTGTTCAAGCTAGAGCTCTGTGACACAGACGTATAGATGGATAGACGGACAAAGAGCAGAGTAACATTAGTAAGGCTCCCTATTACTCTTTGAGTATAAAAAAGGGGGCTACTAAGCTAACTTAAGAAAGAGCTGCGGTAGCTTAAGGGATGGGCGCTCTTGATAAATATCATAGTACTTAAATAAGCAAAATTTGATGCGTGTGACACTATTGAAGTAATTGTTAATCGCAACTTTTCCACATGATTGGTGAAGGAAAATATTGTGAGGAAACTGCATGTCTGAGAAAAAACAATTATTTTGAGTATATTAAAAGTTCATATAAGAGTATTAGGACAGGGCGGCGGATTCAACCCTCCAAGAAATGAAACAGCACCTGTGGTTAGCAGTTAAATGTTAAAATGTTTCTTTTTTTTTTATTAATTAATCCATACATGACAGCCGATTAATTTCCTGTCTGTCAGTATTATAAAAAATCCACTGTTGAACATATATCTCCCCCATAAATTATCTTGTAAGTATTTACCATAGTTGCTGCAGTTGGCAGGCGGGTTGGCAAGTGCGGTTTTATATTATTATTGAATTGTTATCAAGAAAATGCTGCTGCCCATCTATTTCTACTTCCCTCTGCCACCTCTCACGATAACTATTTAATTACATGGGTATTAATATTACCCCGCCACTACACAGCAACTATTTTTCCCAAGATTTTTTACTAATATAACCTTTAAGGACCAACTTTTCAATTGTCAGATAGAAGTAACCCTTAAGATGAAAAACAACATAAAATAATAAAAAAATACAGTTGAATGAATAAAATAGTAAAATTGTTTCACTTTTATATTCAAACAGGTTATAATTTATTCAATGGATAACTTTTATCTGATAATTGCAAAATTGCATTCCTAATTTGAATACAAAGTTAATAAGTTAATTTGAATAAATAAATGTATTTATTTTTGTATCACGATAGTAAAACAGCACAAACATTATAAATAAATTTTACATCAAAATATAGACACAAATACAGAACAAACAATGTAACACTATTTTTTCTTAACCTAAATATTGTAAATGTTACAGTTTTACATGACTTAGCCCAAAAAAAGGCATGTTTATTCCAAAATATAATACATACGTAAGTAATCTGTATAGTTCTCTCTATGTTATATATAACAAAAATATTATATAGTATTTATATTTCTCACAATAATTTGGTCAGTTAAATCTGCATTACTTCTTATTGTCATTATTTAATGCACCTACTGTAGATTTATTTTTTAAAAACAAGTGATATTAAATTCTCTACTTTAAATAAGGCACTTGTTTTTATTCACGTGAAGTGAATTACAAATTTTCATGGTATATTAATGTTATTGTAGTGTTTTTAAACAGATCTGTTCATGAAGGTACACAACTTCACATATGATTCCATATTTAAATACTGAATATTTTCTAGCATACAGCTCCACCTCAACTTATTTCTAGGTACACAACTATACAAGTGTGGGGACACAAATTAATTATAAATTTTTTCTAAATTAAATTCAAATTATGTAATTTTTCGTGACTTGTCTCAATTCAATTTAAAATAGAAAATTGTAAAACAAAATAAGTGTACTGGTAGCAGTAGACTGGACGGATGTGTAAGCTGCTTTCAGAACAACCAATTAGAATTTAATCTAGTAACAATTGAATCTTAAACATTTTCTCTAATTCTGCCCTATTGAAATCTGGAGCAATTATAAAAGGGCAGAGGTAGAACGACAGCTCCCTAAGATTAGGTGCACTTGCTTTTATAACTTTTGCAACTTGCATTGTGACATGGACACATCTTGAAAGACTGAGGTAAGTTAATTTTTGAAATATATTATTTGAAAAATATGCAAGCAATGCAACTGTTGAAAAATAACCATGGCGTAATTTTAAGGATTGTAAGTTTTTCAGGCGGTAAAGATGTACTAAACTTGAATCAAACAAAGTTTTACAGGTCATAATGTGAAGAATATGAAGAGTTTTGCAATTTGCTATATAGCACATAATATCGTCATTCAGTGTGTCACCATAAATATACAATGCTCGTAAGGTGGATTGTTTTGATCTTAACAGAGATTCTAAGAAATCAGCGGGTATGTTCTTCATTTTTTCCATATTAATACTGACCAAGTTAACACACTGTAGCATGTTGTACAAACTACTTTGTGTCAAAGCAAAGTTTGAAAGAATAAGAGTTTCTAGGTACTTAAGTTTTTCAAATGGCAGATGATAAACAAAATTTCCATTTGCATTTTCTGGACTTTGCACTATTAATGAATTACGAAAACTTAAAAATTTTAAGTTGGGCCAGTGACCAAGGTCTTCAAAAATACAACTGTCAACTTGAGATATACTTATTTCTAAATGAGTTAAATTAGGGCAGTAGCTAATTAAGGAAGCCCTCACTTGAGAATACAACTTGAAATACTGTAATTTTACATTTTTTAAATACTTAGCAACAAAAGGCACAATGTTTTCACTTATTTTCACATAATTTTTCATACATACTATGAGGCGTGTGTTATCCCAGATGCAAGGAGTAAGGCACAGTTGCTGCCATCTCACACAAACTTTTGCTACAGCCAACAGTGATTCAGAATCAATCATAGAAAATATATATATGAGTAATTCATTTGGCAGATCGTTTATTGTTAATGCATGACTACATATTTCAACACCTGTCATTTCAAGGTGCACCATCCTGAGTAGCAGCCACCTCTTCTATGGTAGTCCTGGAAAAATGTTTGTATAAAGTTACCAACAAATATTATTTATGCACTGTGAGTACAAAAACTAAACTTTGTTTAGGGTTAATAGAATATGAGATTTGGGTCTAGCAAACAATTAATATTTACATACTCAGGTCACAGACATTAAGAACAGTGGAAGTCAAAATTATTTATTTAGTTCCTGATACGAATTAGTCACATAATTAGCATATACGCCAAATATCATACCTTAGGATTACCTTGCTTCTTATTCGAATTAATTTTATAGTTTGCCTTTTTAAATTCATAATTTAAATACTTTGTTACGCTATGTTTTCAATGTATAAGAATCGTGGTGGGGTAATACTGTTGCTTTAAATTTGGTTTAGTCATCCTAAAAGTGTAACTGTGCTTATAAATCAATTTTTAAAATTTAATATTAAAAATAACTTTCATCTCTGATCCTATTTTTGTATGACGTTTGCTTTTGACAAGTGACGGACTGACGGAAGGTGTTTCTGTTTCGTTCTATGTATAAACTTTTTGTAAGAGAGGATTAATTTAGAACCTGAGATTTATATTATAATTTTTTTATTTGTAAATAAATACTACATTATTTTTATTTTCATTATTATAATTAAAAAAAAAATAATATTATCAAGGCAGTAGGACTCATGGGGAATATTTTATATTGCCAGAACAAGAACGCTGACTGAATTTCCTTTTTCCTTGCTTAAAGTGGAAGCTACAGGGTAGCCAGCGAAATACAAATTTTCATATGTTTTTTTGCAATTTGCAGGTCAGTGTCAGGTTATATGTTTAACAAAATATGATTCGCGACCGTGGCGAGTATGCATTACAGAATTATAATCATTCTAATCATCAATACAACCCTCTAAGTTCGTGTAATTCCATTGTATGGTTATTTACAGAAAAACCCATTCAAAGGGATTATATGACCTTAGAGGGTTGTATTGGTGATTTTAATGATAATAATTCTGTAAACATATACTTGTTACGGTCGCGAATTATATTTTGTTAAATATTCAACCTGACCCTGATCTGCAAATTCCAAAAAACGTAAGAAAATTTGAATTTCGCGGGCCACCCCGGAGCTTTCACATTAATGCATTGAGTTATAATGTAGTACATTATAACTCATACAATGTGATCAGATTTTAGCTTTGTACAAGCAGCACTGATTCTCTGTTGTATAGTATTGCTGCCACTGCTACTAACTAGCTCATGCAGCCAAATACCAATTGGCATATTTTGAAACCAAGTATTAAAAATATTTTATACGTAGTAGAGTCACATTGCTTTATATTTGGTCTGTAGAACGAATAGTCGACTCGACAATAAAAGGCTCAACTTACACAGAATACCAGCGTGAATTAACACCATAATGCTGCTATGTTTCGTATAGTGAGTGACGAGAAAAGCGGTCTTAACAAAGGCGCGTAACGGGCTAAGTGACACAGACACCCGCATGTGGACGTAAGGTGCCCATACCTTCAGTAGCATTAGTATATTACCATCAGCACCTGAAATCAACATCAAACAGAATAGAAGAAAAAATAGGTAGGCGAGTGGTAACTACCCAAACGGACTTCTAGGCGATAGGGACATTTTGATAATATTACAGAATAAATAATAGTTAAAAGAATAGAAGGTTTACTCTCTGATAGCAAACTTGTGAGTTTAAACTTAGTTACAACATCGCTAATGTTTATAATCCTTTGCACGCCTCGGAAGTGACCTTCGTTAAATTAGCCTACAGTTTATTTCGCCGAAAAAATATTTTGTGGCGCGCGTATTATATCAAAATGCACCTTACGTCCACGTGCGAGTGTCTGTGTCACTTAGCCCGTTACGCGCCTTTGTTAAGACCGCTTCTACTGTAGGGTTAGGTGTTGTGAGAAAACAAATTGAATTCTTTGATATTAGTTGGTATATAGTAGAATACACAAAGGAGCTATGCAATGTATTAGTATTTCTTATTTTTTATTTTGTTAAAGAAACATTACCCCCACACTAGGACTTTTCCTGTATCGTGGAGGCAGTTAACAAACATAAATTGCACAAGGTCTAACACCTAGACCCGAAATAATTATTTGTAGGCCATACAAATACTTGTTCCGTATGGGAACCAAACCCGCAGTCCCAGTATTGCAACTCATTGCTAAGCTACTGCGCCACGGAGCCATCAATTTGCTGATAATAAAAACTTTATTGTTTAATGTGAGGAAGGTTAATATGCAACATCTAGGAAAAATATAATTATAACAACGTGAATGTCTTTGAAACTCAGATAATTTACCTACTTACCATTTTAACCGACTTCAAAATAAGGAGGATGTACTCAATTCAACTGTATTTTTTTTTATATTTTGGCTGAATCGATTTTGATGATTATATTTTTATTTGAAAGTTGGTGCTTCTAATTTATGCATCCCATATAAATTTGATCAAGGTCTGTGAGTAGTTTTGGAATTATCCTTAACAATGCGTATTAGTATTGAAGTCGGTGGTACAAAATTTTTAATTTCGTTAGTTGTCTCTCTTCCTCTCTTTTTAAAAAACATTACCTCCAAACTAGGATTTTCTCCTGTGTCTCTGGGACAGTTTACATACATAGAACAGACCCAGAACAATTATTTGTAGGCCATACAAATACTTTTTCTGTCCGGGATTCGAACCCACGGCCCTTACCGCTGCAACTCCTTACTAAGCCACTGTGCCACGGAGCCGTCACTTGTCTGTTTAACATTTTTCGCTATTTACAAACATGTGACACGCGACTTCATTATTAATGAAAGAGTGGCAATGAGAAGTGCTGCTAAGTTCAATTATTTTCCAGTATATGCTGATCTTGCATTAGTAGGCAGTCACCAGTACTGGGAGGTCTACTTACACTAAACGATATTTATTTGATTTGAAAAATCAAATAATAAATCTGTAACTATGGCGTCAGTAACTACGTATCTAATTATCTAGATCTACATATAAATAATAATATATTACCTTTCGGTTTCGGTATCCTTAGGAATAGTAAAGAATAAAAAGTGGAGATTCCTGTTGTTATTTAAGCACCCGTATGCTATGCAGTACCTTTTGGCTTTTTGAGAGGCCATACTTGAATAAAAACACAAAAATACAAAAGTGTCTAAATACTTATTAGAAAAAAATATTTTTTATGTTAACGTAAGGCACGCGTCAGTTCGAGCGGGCGCGTGACAACCTCACAGAATTTGCCCCGCATGTGGGGTCGCGTAGCAAAGGTATATTTTCATGTCTAAAGCGCGGAGTTTAGTTGTATTCGACAGGTCTGATAATATATTAATTAACTAGCGACCCGCCCCGGCTTCTTCGGTGGCGTTATTAAGGTAATGGTTAAAGGCCATTTATGCTATCAATTTTTAAAAATCTTTTCAAAGTATCTCCAAGTTTTTCGGATAAAATATAGCCTAGATCATTCCTGACATTGCTCTTTATGTGTTCGTCAAGTTTCATTACAATCTGTTTAGTCATTCCAAAGATAAGCCCGGAAATACAGACAAAATTTTAAAATTGCTATTCATGTCTTAATGCCATGCATAACGCATTCAGCTCAATAAAAGGCTGTTATTTCAATATTAAAGACAGACACTTCAATTTTATTTATATGTATAGAAGCACAGTGTTGCCACTAACGAGATTATATTTCTTTATATTGTAATTTTCTTTTCGTCATTATCCAGCTTTTGAATTTAAGGTTGTAATTTAGATATTTATATACACGTGTACTATAGCAATAAAGACAACGTGGTCAAAACCACAAATAGTTTCATACAAGTCCTGTAACAATGATGTAAACGTTTATTCGGGCGAGTTTTGGGGTAGTTACATCGCAATTTAGTGAATTAGTTAGTTATGTTATTGTGGCCCCATACATCACAGTTTAGTATTATAATCGTACTATAAATGTTTATAATGTAACTCTTTTCAAAGGTTTAACAGTGAATGTTGTGACACTTTTATTACAAAAAGTAACAAATAAGCCCCCACGACTATGAACTTATTAATAGGTTTTTTCGGACTTTATTCGAGATCGGGTATTTTTAATAGTGCACTGTAATTTATTTATCATTTACTCGATTAGACTTGCTTGTTCGGTGCTTAGTTAGGTTAAAAATAAAATTTAGTACGTGATAGAGCCATGCTGCAGATATATTAGTAGTATAGTTGTAGCACGAATGGGTCGGCTCGACCGGGGAAGGACCACGTTCTCTCAGAATACCAGCGTAAAATAGCAGCTTAACGCTGCTGTGTTTCGTATGGTGAGTGTAGAAAACCGGAGACCTTTTTTACTGGAAATGAGGTATTCATTCTTAGTCCTCACGGGTGACAACGCATCTACATTTTGATTTGTAATAGAGGATAGTTGTAGATGTCTATGGACCGCAGCAAGCACTTACCATCAGGTGGACTGTGTGCTCGTTTGTCACACTTATCCTATAAAAAAAAATAAAAAAAATAAAAGGACTGGTAGACTATACACAAATAAAAATGTGTACGGTTAGTTGTGTCAACTTGTGAAATTAAAATATTCTTTACTCAGACTCTCAGAGAGTGAATTTTACTTGCGACTTAACGTTCATCGATAAAGTAACATAACTTTATGTAAAAAAATTTTTATTCCCCTTCCCTACCTAGTTTTTAATATTTAATAAAATAAAAGCTAGTGAAATGAATAAAGTCTTGGAAGTTGCTATTAACTCGTAAAAAGTGGTCTACATGCTTGCTATAGAATATAATAGAACAATTTTTATTCAATATTGATTACAAGTAATTCTTATTGAAAGTCATTTTTTTACTTTACCACTGGTTCGAAAAAATCTTCTGTACTGGAAAGAACCAGCCAGAAACCCAGCGGGACTTTTTTTTTACAATATAAATAATTACAAACTATTTACAAAATTTATTTTAGAGACAGCTTGGAAGCGACCACCT